AGTTTACGGGTCAAGGGAAAGACGCTTATTACAAAAAAAATTTAATTAAAAAAATTATTTCAAAAAACCCATATCGCCTTACTTCAACAGTAGAAAGGGTCCTGATATCGAAAAAACAAGGACGATTCGCGTTTTTGCAAGTTTCACCCGATCCATTTATGAAGACAAGCCAAAATAAAAATATACCCTAATCGGTACCTCACCAGTACGTGAACATTGCTGAAACATCTCTCAAGTTGATCCATGTAGACTTTGAAAGTTATATCTGCTGAACCGCTCACAGCTATGCAATATTCATTATGAGGCCGGTAGAAGGCGCTCAACATGAATATGACCTGTATGTGATGGATATTATTGGATACAGAGAATTTACAATATTTATATGCAATGTATGCAATGTTTCTACTCACTTGAACAAAGTTTTTATAAACAACTGCGCCATAAGCAAGAGGATAATCCAATTCTTCTTTCGAAACACTCTCTGCATACCTACGAAATCCAAAGAGTTGTTGAATTGCGCGACACCTGAGGTAAACAAAGGCTTGAGCGTAGATAAATTTTGATCTTATAAAAAAAGAATCTTGAATCAAATCAGAGGCTGGGCGCTTACAGGATGATTAAAAAATCTATTTGCTGTATTCAAAGAAGGGACAAAAATTCCAGACCACAATATAGCCCTACTGAGAGAAAAAAGGGGCGACGGAATAATCTGTTACGATGGATTAATGGTGGCTAAGTGACCAGCGTCATTTCTACTTATATTCGAGCACATTATTAAAGTGCTAACAAGATAGAAAACTACATAAGATTTCTGTAAAAACACCTCCAAAAATTATTTGGAATATGACTAGGACGTTGCATTTAGGATTGATCATTATAAAAAAGCTAGAAGATTATAGTTTATCAACTTGCGTGCAGGTTAGGGTTCTGATAATAGTTTCGAAAGAAAAGCAAGCCAACAATGTTTCCAGCTTTTCCTGCATAAATTCATTCTGAAGGAAATCGCGAGTGTTATTTCTCTCAGATCGTTCTTCATGATCATAAAACAC